GTTGTTGCTGCTGCTGCTGCTGCTGCTGTTGCGACTCGTCCGCCGCGGGATGCGTCACCGTCTCCGGGTCCTTGAGGATCTTGGCGCTACCGAAATCGGTGATGAGCACGTGCATCTTCTCGTCCAACAAGATATTCTCCGGCTTGAGATCGCGATGGATGATCCCGAGCCCGTGAAGGTACTCGAGAGCACGAAGGATCTCCGCCGAGTAGAACTTGGTACACTCGATGTCGAACGAGCCAACCTTGTTGATGTACGGCAGGAGCTCACCGTTCTTCGCGTAGGACAATACGAAATAGAGTCTTTCCACGTCTTGGAAGGTGCAGAACAGGCGCACGAACGAGTGCTTCGCGCCCGCGAGCATGTTCAACACCTCCTTCTCTCGCTTCACGTACTCGGTCTTCTTCTCCTTGATTATGTGACGTTTGTCGCACACCTTGATCGCGTACTCCTTCCCGGTGTGGATATCTTTGGCGAGGTAAACCTGCGAATCGACAACGAACACGTTAGATAGATACAGGGGTTCGTAATACGACAACGACGACGAGCAGGCAGAGAAAGATGGGAATGAAAAAAGATCCGCGTTGGAAAAAGTTTCGACTGCCACTATACCGCCGTACGGTAGAGAAACTTTGCTCGGTAATAAGGGAAAAGTTTTTGAGAGAGGAATCACACCGAGAGGATTCGAGAGGGGGTGACATTTTTTTCCCTTGCCCCTTCCTCTCCCTCCTTTTCTTCTCTCATCCTATGGTCGTAATTCGGGACCTCTTAATGATTTAATCGAGTTAACGGGATAATACACTTACGGTGGAGAAGCTTCCCTCGCCGATCGCCTTGCCAAAGATGAAGTCCTTGGGAGTCCGCTTGTGCGTTGGCGGGTTGATGGTGGTAAGGGCCGGGTTCGTGGTCGGTGAAACCCGGGGCGCCAGGGTGTTGGGTGGCGCTACCACACCATTGGTCACGTCGTTCGTTGGTGGAGACATTTTGGACACCGGCCCCTCCACCGTTACTGCCGGCTGTGGCGAAACGGTAAGCGCCTGGTTCGCCACACGCTGCAACGGAAACCAACGACTTAATTATCCACCGTATTATATTATTTATTTTACGCGCGGTATATCCGAGTTAAACCCATGCGGATATCTGCGACAAAGGTTTTTCTCCAATTTATTTTTTATTTTATTTTATTTTATTTTTTTTTTTTTTTAAGAGAATAATTGATCTTCGCTCTAAGCGCCAAGTTCTAGTGGTAATTTTGCAGAGACTTTGTTAGTGGTAAGCAACCAAGTGACCACTGGCGGCAGTTACGCTCGCGTTTCGTTTCGAGGCGTCAATTTCTGCAAGATACAAAAGCGTTCCAATCGCAAAGTGGTGGGGCGCAAGGAGGCATGAACTCGTGTCCGGCCACTTAACTCTTCTCATCCGCTAACGATCGTCCGGTACCAGGAAATCAAGCGCCGGAAGTGACGTCATCATAACCGACACGTGGCTATGTCGTGCAGGTCAGGATGACGGACTCGTCGTTTAATCGTCAATCATTCTAACCACCTGACGATTCCGTGCCAAAATCGAAAGCGACCGAAATGTCACAGTTGTGCGTTTCGTATTCAAAGTACGTAGAAGATCAAGGCTGCGTGCGATTCGACCATGACTCGATATCTGTATATTATTTCACAGATTGTGTAATCTAAAGAAAAGGCGACTTTCTACCGCATCGTTGACACGATCAATCAATATATGCATTTTAACGGATGTTTCTCATCTTTACACAACATACATAGAGAAACATATATAACAGCTGTACAAAAGAGGGTCAAAGAATCGGCAGATACTTTTTGACAATGATGAGATTCAATGGATTGGTCGGGGGGAAAAAGATTTCGCTGTGCACGCATACGAGGATGATTTTTAAACGGTGATCGCTTCATTTCCGGTCCGAAAGACGATCGCGCCCCTTTCTCTTGCCGCTTCCTTCCTCCCATCACCATTGTGTACTTCCGTCCAAAGACGGATCCCGCGTTATACCGTGGCCGTTACAAAAGAAAGGAACAAGTTCTCATCCTCGAACAAGAGAATCCGGATGATCCTCCGTCGAAATGCTCTCCTTTCTTCTCTGACCTTCCCTTCTTTCCCACTACCCGCCTCAAACGGTCTTTGACCGTTTCCCAAACCTGCACACCGGTTGACTCCCCAAACAAGCTTTTCGCCGAGCAAAAGACGCAGGAAATGCGCGTTGCGAGAAACCTTTTGCCAACGGCGCGGGTAAATATCGGCGACGACTCTTAACGAGACCCCATTGCCGAAAATGAGCGACAGAGGGTATCCGGTGTAGAAAAAAGATGTCTACAAAGATATCTACAAAGTGAAATCGCAACAAAAGATTTGGATTTGAATAAATGGTCGTTGATGATAAAATAACGGCAACATTTTTACTCATCTGGAATTTTCATCGATCTTTTTTTCTTTTATAAAGAAAGAAAAAAATGTCGAAGAAAGAAATGAAATGAAAGAAGATCTATACATTGAATATTCTCTCTCATATTTGTGAGACTATTAAATTCCTCGTAAATTTCGCAAGGAATCGTAAATAATTATTATGATGTTGCTAATATATCCATCGTTGAAAGATTTCGACGAATTAATCAAGGAATTTGCGGCGGTAACAGAAGATGAGAACATGGAAAAGGTCGTAAGCGAGAGAAGGAAGGATTTATATTTAGACGATGAAAACGCAAGTCGGCAAGGCCCTTTCTTTCATCTTCTTTATCTACCTTTCCTCGTTCTTCTTTCCAGGCCGGTTACGAGGCGGGCCCCACGGCGTCAACCATCCGTGTCAGGACGTCGACCTCGTCGAGCATTTGCCCGAGAGCCACCCAACAGCAGCCCTACTACTCCCTCTGCTTGGCTGGCTTTCGCTTTGCCCCGCTAGTTTATTTATTTGCTTATCTATTCCTTGGTCCCCTGACACTCGTCTACTTCTCTCACCCTCTCCTTCTATCTCCTACTCTCTCTCCCTCCCTCACTATGTAGCAAGCAAGGGGGATAACCACCGACGGATACCGCAGGATAGAGAGCAACGTCGATCGCTAGATATCAAGGAGAGAAGTCTCAAGCAGAGGGGACTCGGATAATCGATATACCGACTAACGTTCCACTACGACCTCGCAATTTGCTTAGATCGTAGATATATACCGTTCAAGAGTATCAGAGAGAGCGCGTTCCGTTTAAAATAAACCGCTCTCACGTAGATATATAGCTGCATGCGCGCGCTCTCAACCTCATCGACTTAAACTTAACGAGTAGTTGTGTGAACAATAACCTTTCTCGCGGCGATGCATCGTTTCGATTCGTCGATGACCTTGCGACACATTCTATCTGGAACAAATTTCGAGAAACGCGAAAAGGAAACGCGAGAACGAATCGACACAAGAAATAATCTCACCACGATGGGAAATGATGGAAAAAACGAAATACGTAATACGTAATGGAGAAGTTTTGCGGAAGATGAAATTCGAAATACTTAAAATGATCAATCAATCTAAAAACGTATAACATCTCGCGGGCGTCCGTTAAACTCCTCATCTCTCTCATTCCCTCGCGTTTAATTCTCTCTATCCTCTTGCGATTGCTGAATCACCCTATACACACAACCCAGCAACATTCCAACGGACATTCTAATTTTAGCCTTGCTCGTCTCGTCTCTTTCTCTCGTGGACAAGCGCATTCTCTATCCGCGCGCCTTGTAAACGCTCCTTCGTTCTCCACCTCTCTCGCTCTAAGCTCGCGAGGTTATGTTTTTCTTGCAGCTTGTCGAGTGCTGCCCTCTGACGATGGTACGCGACACTTTCCTCTCTTTTCTCCTTTCCCTTGGTGCTCGCACACATAGAGACACGCACACCAGACGAGGACGAGAAGACGAGCACGAAGGGCGACAGAAAGAGACGGAGAGCAATGATCGTGTACCCCCACTCTGTCGCATCAAGTTTTTTGCCGGCTACCAGAAGGGACTACGCCTATTGGCGCAGGCGGCCAGCACTTTTGCCCGTGAATGAGATGTTTTGCATTCGCAGACGCTGAGAAACGTGTCGCGCGCGGGCTGTGCGACTAAATTGGAACACGCCACGGCCCGAGCTGCCTGTTCTAGAGAGACTAATAAAAGGGTCTCGAGAGGAACGGCGTCGATTTTCCAGCAAGCCCGATTTCTCAGCCGAGAATTAATGTTCTAAGCGAGTCTTTTGTGCTCGTGTACACTTGATCTTTGTTTATTTACACGAGCTCGTTCAATTATCAAAGCGCTAATTAGATAAAGAGAGTATTTATTGTTTGTTACTATCCCTAAGATATGCATGTGTATGTGTCTACTACTTGCACAAAGAAGTGGATGAGAATCAGCATCGAACAAAAAAAAGCGACAGTCGTTCTCGAATATTGTATTCCGACTTTGTCGCTTTACAGAGAGTGCAACAATAACATTTCTAATCTTTGTATTATCGTTATTGTTGTCTTGCTTTTAAAAAAAAGCTCTAAAAAAGCTCTAAAAAAAGCAGTGAGATTCGTACATTTACCACTAAACGTGCAAGAGAAAACAAAATGCCACAGAATGTTCGTTATAAAAGAATTATACGAATTACACGAGTTATACGAAATTAGCAGAAGAGGTAATTAATTGGAAAGGATTCTACAGTTGTTTACTAGTGACACAAGAAAAATGTACTATATATTGCACAAACTTATAAAATAAAGAACATCAGAAAATTGTAAACAACATCAATCGAATGTCTCTCGTATTATGACGAATGATATAACCAATTAAAATTACGAGTGCTATAAAGGACAATCGATCTTGCGCGCGAAATATTTACACACATCGATGATTACGAGACGCTATGTCGTAGCCGTTCGAGAAACATTATTTGATATAGCATATATTTGAAAAGCATCCTATGTCATTAAAACAATTGATCGAGCCATAGACGCTCGCGATCGCTCGAGTTTTTTATTTTTTCTTTTCGAGTACCATCGAGAGATAAGCATGGCATCGACAAAGATCGAGCTACGTCGTGACCAACACGGCCACAAAATTGTTTGCTTTCACATCCTATCGTATAAACACGCAGACGATCCAAACATGTTTTTTCGGTCGCGGACCTCGATGAGCATTACCCAACGATCTCACTCACTCCTTCTTTCCTTCTTTCTCTCTTTCTCCCTCTCTCTCTCTCTCTCTCTCTCTCTCTCTCTCTCTCTCTCTCTCTCTCTCTCTCTCTCTCTCTCTCTCCTCTTTCGAGCCTCTTTCGAGTGTAGCGGAATTTTGCGATCACTCCAAGTTCACGTGTATCGCGTTTGAACCGTTCTCGAGATTCCCGATGACTCGATACTTTCCAGCATTCCCGTCAATTTGTTTCCATTGCCGAAATACAGAGAGGACTGATACACGTTATTATCGCGGAACGCTGTGTTTAGTCGATAACCACACTTCGATAGGCACGAATATAAATTTTTTCTTCTTATCGATTATTTCTTCTATATAAACATTTTTTTTATATACAAATATAAATTTTCGAATCGTACGTATTTTTTTTAGCAGTGGAATGGAATTGACATTTTAGTTGATTTTCTTCTCGCGTAATAAATATTCGTACGGACATTCATTTGACTAGCATTCTCGGTCGAAAAAGTAACCGTCCCAGTCTACGCGTCTCTTCCGAGCGGAGATGTATTTTGTCACTCGTAGACGTGTCACTGAACAAATATCGAAATTTTTAATTTGTCGAGAGTCAAGATATTATTTTTTGATTTAACACTAAGAGAAATGGCACTATTTCTATAGAAAATTCGCAGTTGCTTTCGACAGTGAACGTAAACAACTTTCGAACCGTGTCGTGATTACGTTGCCTGTTTTGGAACCAAGGGCTCCGGGCGAATTTATTTAAAATTCGAGCGAGCGTAAATTATTCATGCTTCGAGGCAGTGTGTTAACCTCCTCCTTCTTTCACCTCTTTTTTGGTATACCGAATCTGCATTCACTGTTCGTTTTCGTTTCCGAAGTCACCAA